AAGTTATAAATTTAAGTCAAAATTTAAAAATCACAACTTTTTAACATTATTTCATTAATAACTTTTTACCTTCATACCATTACTCATATATCTTATTAGCTTTTCTTGCGATACTATCTTTAATTTTCATTCTTACTTTTTCTCACTTTAAACTTTATATACCCTTTCTTTTCCTTTCTATATTAATAATTTGTTATTATTATTATTATTTCTCTCCTTATCCTCATCTAATATCATTCTTGCCTAGTCACCCTTTATATCATCATCAATCATCATATATCTTCTAATCTAACATTTCTCTTTCAATCTATTATTAGAGATTTTTTTTTTGGTTTTATAATGATTACAATTACATATAAATATATTAAAATCATAAATCATTCAGTAATATATACAATAAATTTATACATATATCAACAAAATTCTAAATTTTAACAAATATAAAGTAAAGAGCCTACATTATCTTCTTTTTTTTCCTCTTCACATTAGTAATTTATTTGTTATTATTCATTTTCTTGTTATCTTCTTATCTCTATAATTCTTTCTTAATTATTTTTAAAATCTTTATATATTAAAATATATCCTTTTTTAATACCATTTTTTTCTCTTAATACTTTTCACTTACCTATACTTTACCTTTCGTTAATTTTTCTTGAGACTTTATCTCTTAGCTTATTTGTTCACATTTTATCATTATATTTATTTATTTACTTTACATTCGCCCTCAATTTATCATTAATAATTTGTTTGTTATTAATTTTCTTCTATTGTCCTTATTCCCTTAATATTATGTTTCTTAATCACTTCTTACATCTCTATTTATTATTATATATTATTTTTACCACAATATGTCTCTCTCATTCCTTGTTGTGTGTATATTAGAATTGTTTAATTTTATTGTGACAAATATATAGAAAACCTCTAATGGCTCTTATTTTTTATTTTTATAATTTTTTGATATATAATTTAGACTTTTGATAAAATGAGTGTTAAAACTTTTTTAGGTTTCTTGAAGTCTCTTTCTTTGACTTCGGTTGACAACGTTTTTTGTGCTTTAGTTTTTAGTTTTTATATTTTTTATTATTTTAAAAAATAAAATATTAATCAAAATAAATGTTAAATATATTAAATATTATACATTTTTTAGTGTCATAACCAGATTTTTTATTTTGTTTATTTAGGTTTTTCATAAAAAAAATATAAAAATTTAAAAATAATTAAAAACTCATAAAAATTATAAAAATGTGAAAACAAAATACAAAAATTTTAAATTTTCTCTTTGTTAAACTAATTTATTTTATTTCGTCTTAGGTTCAATGGGTAAAAATGAAAAATTTTGTGAAGAAATTCAAGAAAGGAATAAGAAAAGGACTCAATTGAAGAAATTAAAAAGTTGGGGTGAAATCTATCAAGACAAACCAACAAATCCAGTCCAAACCCAAATATTGAGCCCACCAGCCATTTAATTCAAGCCTTAACCCAACCAAAGCCTAGCCCATTCTCACCCAAAAGGAAAAAGAAAGACGAAGACGAAAATAAGAACAAAGACTACAAAACCCGTCTTCCTAAAATGAGGGTTCTCGATCCTTCTCCCTTTTGACTTGCCGCTACCACCACCATCCCTTCCGTTTTTTACCTCCGATCTACATCTCCACCTCTACCTCCACGAGCATCACCTTTTCATCACTACAACCACACACTGTCAGTAGTACGCCTTGGGTTCCTTCTTAATTTCTCTTCTTACGGGCTATAGGACCATCTGTGGATAGCTCCCTGCTGTTCAATCCACCTTCTCCGTCTCGCAGCAGCTGCAGATTATCTTCTCCATTTCACAGCAGCCAGGCAGTTGTAAGATCCTCCTTTCTCCTATCAATCGCCGGTCTCGTCTCCTGTGGGTATTCTCCTAAACAGAGGAATTTTTTGGCGGCAGTGAGGGGAACGATTTGGGCCTAATTTTTGGGCTGTAGGAAGTTCTGCCGTTTAATTTTTCTGGAAAGTATATTCATGTTTTGTTTTGTTTTGTTGTTGGCTGCATTTTTGTAAATGATGATATTAATCTAAGAGTATTGGAGTTGTTTGCCTCATTATTGGTTGTTTGTTTGCTGCATATGAAATTTGCTTGAGATCTGCGTTTGATTTCCTTTTGCTGTTGGGAGCTTGATCGAATGAAGAAAAAAAAAAAGGGAAAAAAGAGAGAAATCTAAAAATCACCAATTTTTATTCAATTTGATCCGTTTAGACCCAAATTGATATATGGATCATGTTTGTGGGTCGGGTCTGCCCAACTTAGTAAGTTTAAGTCATGGGCTAAATAGATTTCAAAGTGGGTCATGACCTATTTGATTTGTGAGTTGTTTGCCTTCTAGGTTGGCCCAACAAATAAAAATATAAATATAAAGACATAAAAAAAAATAAAAATTGGAAAGCCATATGCGAGCTTTATTAAGATTGTAAGAACAGGAAGTAAGTACATATTCAGATAAGGCCATAAGGGATTGATCTCCTGTTACAATATGCTCAATGGGAAATGGTATGTCATCCACCCAGAACTCATCAGCCTCAGCAGTAAGTGCTCTTCGTGCGAGCTCGTGAGCAGCAGCATTAGCAGTTCGGCGGACATGTTGTAACCGGCACGACTCGAAAGAGACCAACAGTGCTTTGCAATCAAGAAGACTGAGGCCTAAGCTGGAGTTCATGTTGAAGGTTTCACTGGTGATTGCTAACACAATGGTTGCGCAATCAGATTCTACTATAATTCTTCCAAATGCAAGGGACTGAACCCAGTGGAGAGCTCTCCGTAGACTGCAGGCTTCAGCAACTTCAGGTTCCACTGCTCCTTGTCCTTTGCACGTCATAGATTGAAAGGATGATTAATTAAATTTAATTGAAATTAATTGATTACTTTTAATTAGCCTTAATTGAAATAATTAGATTAATCTAATCATATTTTATTTTAAGGTTAATTAAAGTGATTAATTAATTTAATTAGTTTCAATTAATTCTTAATTAATTATTCGATTAAATAATTTATTTTGGGTAATTAATTTTATTCCTTTTTAATTTTCTTAATCAGGTCAACATTAAAAAAGTCAAATTGTCTTTTATTAATTTCTAATTTCACTCAAAACTTTTTGTGATCAAGCAATTTAGCTCACCAGTTTTAAATCTCTTCAAATCAGTCCTGAATGCATGTTCTTGAATTTGTTCAAGTTGAGTCAAAAGGTTTTCAAGTGTTGCAATTTCATCTATTTACTTTTAAAGTCCACGTAATAAAAAATCAAAAAGAATAAACAAGTTGAATAATTTCTCAAATGGTTAAAATATGCAACTGTGTTTTACACAGTATTATGAGGTGTGCATATACCTTTTTTCACTCTTAATCGTACTCCAGACCTTGATCTCTGTACAGACCATGTGTAGGTGACTTATATTACCTTATAATTTGGATGATTAGCGACTCTTTTCTTTTCCATTTTCACACTTAATTTTTCATTAATTTTCACATAATTTTTGAAATTTTTAGGTTAAATACCCTTTTTGGTCCTTCTACTATAAGAAAAAGCCCCTTTTTGGTCCCTGTACCAAAAAAAATCTCCTTTTTGGTCCTTGCTGTTCACAAATTCGGCCCCTTTTTAGTCATTCCGTTAATTTTTGCTTACGTGGCACGTTAACTTAACTAGAACAACTGACGTGGGTATACCAACGTGTAAAAGATGCTTACGTGGATTTAATGATACCCTCCACGTCACTCTCCCAGCACAGGCAAAGAGAAAATTACTAATTTACCCCCATCTTCTTCCCCATCCTCTCCTTCCTTTGGGCTTTTTTTTTTCTTTTTTTTTTTTTTTCTTTTACCTCCAGGTGAACCAAGCTCCAATCCAGGTCGCGAACCCAGGTGCGACCTGGATTCATTGTTCATGGGTTCGTGAAGAACCTAGGCTTGGGTGGATTCATCTTGGGTTCTTGACAAACCCAGGTGCACGCTAGGTTTTTTGCGAACCCAGGACCAACCCAGCTCGCCTGGGTTCCCGACGAACCCAGCGCGACCTGGGTGGGTTCGTCTTGGGTTCACAACGAACCCAGGTGGGCCTGGGTTCCCGTCTATAATGCCTTGGAGAAGTGCCTGCAACGCTCGCCTCGGTTCACGACAAACCCGGGCGGGCGTTGCAAGCACTTCTCCAAGGCATTAGGGCTGGGCATTTTTTAATCGAACCAATCGTTTACCTGAAAACTGAACCGAAAAAATGAATTCAGTTCGATTTCAATGGTTTTTGGTTCTATTTTTTCGGTTTTGGTATTAACCGAATATATTTCGATTCGATTTCAGTTGAGTCTCTTAAAAATTGAAAACCGAAAATAAAACCGAAATTAGGATAAAATAGATAAAATATATTAAAATATGATAAAATATAACAAAATATGATAAAATATGTGATAAAATATAATTTATTATTAAAAAAA